TGAATCAGAATGAACTTTATACACACAATAGATTTTCTATTTTCTTTTCAGGGTGTATTTTAATTTCTGGTTTGTTTTTTAATAATTCTTTTAACTAGTCTTGCAAGTAAATCTCTTTTTAAAATATGCCAAGGGTAGATGAATCAGAAAGCTACTCTGACTACAATAAATGTTAATCAGTATAGTTCATTTACCTATTAATTTCAGAATGCAAAAAAAAAAAAAAACCCACTGTTTTTTTTATGTATGGCTGAAACTATAATAGGATTCCTGAAATTCAAATTCCTTAGAAAATTATCTACCTTCATAAAAGAGTATAATTTCTGGCAAAAAATATTGATATTTAAAAATAAAGCTCCTATTTTCCTAGCTTGGAAATTACAATTTTCTCCATAAATAATTAAATAATACTATGCATGAAATGACTAAATTATAGAATGAGATTTGGAGTCAGAAAAAGTGAGTTGTATCTCATCGCTGCTATTTACACATTGTGTGTTCTTAGAGACCTTAATCTGAAAATCCAGAGGCAGTAGTACTTATTTGCCAGAGTTGTATAAGATTTAATAGGAAGTACATAAAATTCTTAACATTGTGTCTATATTAGAATGCATTCAAAATAAAATTATAATTATGCATAATGTAAAATAGGTGGGGTTCTCCACTTAAATGTCCATTAATATTATCATTATACAAAATGTTTATTTTATTTCAAATGCATATAATTTCATTAGTTACATTAGGTATATATTTAAGTAAAGAAAATCAATGCCTATATTTTAAAATGCTCAGTTTATCTTAAAAGTGTCTGGGTGACTCAAACAGTTAACCCACCCAGAGTCGATCTGCTTCAGGAAGGTCAAAGCCTTGAAAAGGTTTTTAAACAGGTCTACTATGTCGTCTTTAGGTGCCATCGAGTCAATACTGACCCATAGCAACCTTATGCACATCAGAACGAAACATTGACCGATACGGGGCCAACCTCACTAATGTTGCCATGCTTGAATCTATTGATGCTGCCACTTGGCCAATCCATCTCATTGGGGATCTTCCTCTTTTTCTCTGACCCTCCACATTACCAAATTAGATCTCTTTCTTAAGTGAAGGGTCCTTCCTGACAATATGTCCAAAGTATGAGAGACAAAGATTGGAC